TTGGCATAAACGCTGCATAGTACGTTATCATGCCAAGAAAAGCTCTCAATTGATTAACGTTCTTCTGCTCATCCATCTTCTTGATTGCTTCGATCTTCTCTGAGTTTGGCCTTCTGTCATTTCGATCTACTATGAAGCCAAGATATCGTATCTCTGGCTTGCCAAAAGAGCCTTCTCTAAGCGAATCCTGAATCCATAGTCAGCTATCCTAGCAAAAACAGCTAGCAAATTCGCCATATGTTCTTCTTCGGTTCTTCCACAGACCAGTCGTCCAGGTAGGTTGCTACACCTTGCAAACCACTCACCATCTTGTTCATGATTTGCTGGAAGATCCCTGGTGCTGTCTTGATTCCAAAAGGTAGTCTATTGTACTGGTACAATCCTCTATGCGTATTTATTACGACCATTTTCTTCGCTTATTCTGACAATTCGATCTGCAGGTAGGCGTCCGAGAGATCTATCTGCGAAAACATGGTGCCTCCATTGAGTGATGCGAATATGTCCTCCGGCAATGGCAGCGGATAATCGTACGACTCCAACGCTTTGTTGAGTCCGGTTGAGAAATCAGCACACACTCTTAACTTTCCATTCGCTTTCCTGACGCATACGATAGGAGCTGCCCATTCGCTGTGTGTCACTGAGCTTATGACCTTCAATTCCAATAGTCTATCCAGCTCCTTTTCGACAGCTTCGAGCGCAGCATGGGGGACAGGCCTACAAGCCTTGAATACTGGACGAACATTTTCGTCAACTTTTAGATGCGCTTTCTCCTTTGTGCAAAGTCCTAGACCTTCTTCGCAGACTTCTGGGTAAGCTTCCTTTATCTTCAAAGCGATGTCCCTGGTTTGCTGCTCTGTCTTCACTTCAGCAACCATTCTGCTTAAATGGTACGACATATCTTCGTTCTTCTGAATCCACTCAAGTCCTAGCAGTGAGTTGTGAGGCGTCACGTATGCGTAGCCTTCGCTCCTAGATCCTTTGATCTCGTAGTCGCACCATAGCTTTCCACGGACATCCATTGAGCCTCCACTAGCGTTCTTGACAACCACACTGGTGTTTTCCAATCGAGGAGCACCCATGCTTCTCCAAATTGATTCGTTTAACAGTGTGATGTTCGATCCAGTATCTAGCAGGAAATTAACTGGATGACTGTTCACTTTTGCTTCGATATACATGGTGTCGAGTTGACATCCACCATCGCATTTGCAATCTTCGCTACGCTATGCACATGACGTTTCGGTTTCGTCCAACTTCTGTTCTTACTGGTGTCGCTGCTTCTGTGGATTCTTCGTTTCGAATCTTGCTGAACAAGTGCTTTTCTCTCCGCCACTTGTTCGCAATACTTTTCCTTGTGGCCCGTCTTCTTGCATTTCTTGCAGAACCATAGCTTCGCTTTACATTCCCTGGCAAAGTGAGCTTTACCACAGTTCCAGCAGTCCAGCTTCTTGGGTTCTTCCTTGCTTGTTGCTTCGACAATCTTCGTGCAACCAGCTACAGTCTCGCTATCCTTCTTGAGACTAAGGAAGTTTTCGCACTCCATATACAATTCCTGTAGCGACATCTTTCGTCCAGCCTTGTACTCCTTGTCCAGTACGGCTATGAGTCGCTGCCTGATTTCGGCTTCTTTTTGGCTTTTCAGGCCAAAAATCCAAAGAAGACATTTGATTCCATCGCTATTCAAGTCGTGGATCTTCGCTTTCTCGCATAGTTCGTTCACTCGGCCCGTATACATGAGGTAGTCCTCGGAATCCGCCTTCTCCAGCTTCAAACACTGGTACCGCATAGTGAATTCCGAAATCTTCACGTCGAAGAGCTGCTTCAATGTTTCGACTGTTTCTTCAAATTTAATCGAGGTGACCTCCTTTGGTAACACATGCCTCTGGTATTTTTCGAAGCTGTCCTTGTCCAGTTTCTCGCAAAGCAATCTCACTCTCGCACTTTCTGTGAGCTGCTTCGCATCTTCGACAAAAACGTCCTTGTAGCGGGCATACCATCTGCTGAAGCACATGTCCGTTTCGGGATCGAAGTAGAATTTTTCGATCCTATTGCTGAGGGCGGACATCACATTCGGGATTTCGGCTGAGGTAGCGCTTCATCCTGTACCTGTGATGTGTTTCAGAAGCTCCATCATTTCTCTTCGTTCCTCTCTCATCTCCTGGAGCAGGACCAGCATCTCCTCTGAGCCAATCTTCGTCATGCTGATCTATCGGTTTGCTTTGACCGCTTTCTGCAGTCTCCTCGTCGATTTGATTTCCTCGGGCTTCGTTGATTCGGCTACTTCTTCGACTAGTAGCCGCCGCTCCTGATCGCCACTGTTGTGTCCTCCACGTCGGACACGTCGACTCTTCGTCCTGAGGCAGCACACGAGAAAACAGAGAATATTTATTAGAAAATAATAGAACAGCCAAAAATAAGAGAGGCAGATGAGTGAGCAGACGAACTGACAATGGCTAACAGCGAGCGCCTTTTATAGCGCTCATTTCCCGCGCATTGAGGTCGCAGGCGCCTCAGCGAGGGCAGATCATACGAGAAAACAACTGATCAGACATTAACACAACAGAAATCTTGGCGATTAGATTGCGACGATTAAGTCGCATGAAGTCTGACCGGGGCCTGATGCCAAATCGCGTCGCGACTGCAATCGCGTGAAGTATGCCCGGCCCTTAACACGTTGACGACAGTGCCGCGCAATGGTGCGCGGCAGGTAGTCTGTCCCTGTGGACGACGCCGCGCAATGGTGCGCGGCGGCCTTAATTTCAATACTATCTGTCCAATCCTCTCAGTTTTTGTTCATATAACCAACATAGGCTCAGATGTATCTCATGTATTAGCCCCGCCCCTTTTTGGCAAACTCCGCCCACTTCTATACTTCTCACACGGACCCTTTTTGTTCATTAAAAGCATGGATGAGGCCGTAGATGAACGCAAAGACCTCAAGTAACTTTTATACGGGCCCCGCCCACCGTCAGGCAAACTCCGCCCCTGATTGGCAAGCTCCGCCCACTTTTCAAAAATGGCGGAATCTGCACGAATTCATTGATTTTGAGCGATTTCCAGCATTTTTGAAAAGTGGGCGGGGCTTGCCAAAAGTGGGCGGAGCTTCCCCACCCACTTGCATTTTTGTATCTCACGCATAGATGCATGCATACATATATGCAGCCGGCTGTGAAAATGCCCGGAAACGGTTCGTCCACAGGGACAGACCTTCAAAAAATGGCTCGTCGTCAACGTGTTAAGGGAGCGGCGTCCCGCTTTATGAAGGAGCCGCGTACAAACGTCACTGCGGCCTTGCCATCATTGAGAACGCTGCTCTCCTCGCCGCAGGGATGCTAGTGCATCCCGGCCGCTTTAGCTGCTGGAGACTCACTGCGAATTTTTCATTTATCTCTTCAACGCTGGTGTAAATTCCAAAAGCTAGTCATCGACGTAATTAAGGCAAAAAAAATGTGTAAATCGCAGGATGTATATTCGCATCAGTCGCTTTGTCACGTTTCAAAGGCTTGGTCCCGAACCTACTTGGCCGTGGCTGCCATTTTTCCACTAGGCCATGTTGATGATGATGAGAGTAGGTGTCTAGACAAGTTTCTAGCATTGAGTCGAATTTTAAGCTAAGTAAGGACCAATTCCAAGCAAGTTTGCTAGAGCTAAAAGAGCAGAGGGAAGAACAGGTATTTGTGGACGCCATAAAGCGATCAGCGGACTCCTTCAAAAAAAAATGCGGATTCGCAGTAAATTTAGAATCACAACTGCATAAAATGATATAAAATTATTTTATTAGGTCGTTCCGAAAGTAATGTCGCTTTTCTTCGAATGAACGCCACTATTCGTGGAATCAACATTTTCAAGAAATCTTAGAAGATTCGATGCAGCATTTCATCTTCTTTCTAAAGGTTTTAATTCCACTGCGAAATGTTCAATGAGCTCTCGAAAAATTACTAAAATCTGCGACTCATGCTTTTTGCCATGGTAAAATTCGGCTATTTTTCTAAATTTTTGTACCTAGTTTCCGAAAAAGTACAAGTGGCAGGTAGATAGAGCAAACACTATAGGACACAGAGTAATTTTTTCTTTTCCTTAGCTTGTTTCTCAGAGTTTCTACAATCAATTTCTCAATGCCATCAAATTCCATATTTAGTCAAGTCAAACCTCACAGAACAACAACCGGCAAGCGACTCGGATGTCATTCAATGCAGCTTTTTCTCCTCTTTCTAGCGGTTGTTTTTTGTTTGCGATTCATCAAGTTTCCCGGGATAAATTCTCATAATATTCAACTTTTCCAAGGAACCCTAAGGTGTCCCTGAAATTTTCGAAAGCTGCTACCGAAGCGGTGAATGCTCATTTGGTTTGTGAAAATGTTGCCAAACCATAATCCATCTTTGTAAGTTTCAAAATCCGAAGACTTGTTGGTGTTTGATGCATTTGTGTCTGAAACGAGCCTGCTAAAATTCGGTGGTTCCATCAAAAAATCTATGCAAAAATTATGACGAGCTCTGGAAAGTAGAAAAAAGTTGTGCTGTTTCCTGTAGGGTTTGCTCCATCCATCCATTACTTGGACTCCTTCTGAGGTTTGTTATAAAATTTCAGAAAAATTGTGAAACTTGGCCATCTCAAAAAGCATAGGTCGCAGATTTTCTGACTCTTTTCTGGAAGCTCATTGATTTTATTGCAACAACTTCATAACCATTAGAAAGAGAATGAAATGCTGCATCAAATTCTACCAGAATCTTCTACACATCTCTGTTCCACGAGATGTGGCATACGTTTGAAAAAAGCGACATTACTTTCGGAACGACCTAATATAAATTTAGATCAATGTTAAGATCAAAGGGCAAGAAATTAATTGTCATAAACGGAGTTTACTTGTGATAAGCTGTACTTTGAAACAACAGTCATAATTCCCAAAAAAGGAGAATTTTTTCCAAATTCAAATACGAAGGCATATAATTGCGCACTAATCATGCAAACTGCAGATTTGGACATATCGCAAGACGATTGTGTTTATGCTGCTCTTATGGATACTGGTCGTTTCATCGTCTCTACCTTATTTGTTGCTACCCAATGCTGTCGTTTTCGCATCAGGCCCTGGTGGTGTTATTATACTTTCTGCAGGTGTATTGGCTGATGTAAGAAATTAGTTGTTTATGTTTTTCGATATATGCCACAAATTACAGTATGCAGCAAGTCAGAATGTGGTTATAAACTTGATAACCATATTAACTTGCACTTTCTGTTATGTGGCTTGCTACTTGAGGATTCGTGATCCGCAAAATGGATATAGGGTAATCTTCGTTCTTGATGAAGTTTTATTCATCAGGTATGAGCGAGCACTAAGCAACCCGTTTTAGGTTGTCGATAGAAGTCTGTTCTTTTGCGCATTATTTTCATCACTTCCGTTCTGCGCCGAGGTGGTACGTTGTCTGCTGGCTCTGGCGACATTCGAAGTAAAAAATGGACTCTACGAAATCTCTTTAGAGTTATGGTTAGTTCAGATAATGTGCTGTTTTCCATCAAGAGAAAAACTTAGCAAGCTAGAAAGAAGATAATTCCCCATCTTATCCCTTCTCAAATTCGCTTTCCACGCAAAAATCAAGACGCGAAAATACTGCAGAAAATTTTTTCTTCCAATGTTCTTAACTATCACTCTTTGAGGCCTGCCGCGCTAACTTGGCGTAGGAGTGACACTAAGTGCAAAGCTGCAATGTGCAGGGAAGTGCACACTCTGGTAGTCCTTCCTAAGCGGTGAGAAAGTTTGACGTTTTTGGCTTCGCTCGGATGCTTAGCTAAGAACAGCCGAGCTGGATTTGGATTTTGCGCCGTTAGCTTTAGGTGGAAAACGTTTGTCTCTACTCAAGCACCAAAGTCGATAATCGTTCTGTGGTACTCAATGGCACAGCCTTATAAGTCTGGTTTTGCAAACTTTCTTCGCACAGCAAGAAAAAAAAACAAAGTCCCTTATGGCGCTAAGTGTAACAGGGCTGATGCCAGATTGCTCAGTGCACCACCTGGTTGCAGCGGCGTTCCCAGGATTCCCGCTTGGAGGAGGCGCGAAAACATTTTTTTTTTTTGAATAAGGGTGCGGCCTCATTCACTCCTCCGAATTTTTTGGGATGCTTCCGAAGAATTTGCGGACCCACGACCCTGAAATATTAGTAAATAGGGGCGTGGCTGCCGCCGCCAAAAAATGTTTACAAGCCTGATCTGAATTTTTTTTTCAAAAATTCGAGAAATTATTTCAATTATTAGGTTGAAAAAAATGCGTTTTCGAAGAGAAGTAGTAAGACGTATCTAAGGAAACATGTGAGAGTTACTTGATTGAAGAAAGGAGGCTTTACAAGATAACCTTTAAACATCTGCAGAAATCGTGATTTACCCAAAATTAGGAGCCAGAACTTTAAAGCAACTCATGGTGATGCCAAAAGTCGGATTTTGTCCCAAAAAATCTTACAGTTCTCTCATTTTGCTCCTGTTGTAACTGGGACATGCAACACTTGTTGTATTTTTTTTTCATGTTTAAAATCAAGAAAACATATAATGGCAAGCTCCGCCCCCAGTAGTCCTGAGCTTCTCCCATATTTGCCCTTGTATACTACAAAACCTTCGAAACTTTGGCCAAAAAGTTTTGGCCTTGGGCCTTTCACAGTTTCTCGTGGGCGACTTTAATGCGGAGACTGGGGTGCGAAAAGCAATTTAAGATTGGAAAATAGGGATCAAGTTCCCCAACAAAAGCGGCAATTCTCCGCCACACGAAAATTGCAGAGAAGAGAATTGCATTTCGAATCTTCATAAAGAGCAATTCGCCAATGGATGTGAGGATCGCTCAAAGCAACGACTCACGCAGAGCTTGACCTTATCCTCACCAACCGAAAATGCATTTTATTTGTTGTCATACGAATAAAAGATACTGGGTTGCAGTGGTATTCCGTAAGGAGATGTACATCGATAAGTCCCTTTCGAACACCGATAACGTATCCGCTTTTGAATCTGCGAAACGATTCTGTAAGTTACGGACCTTCTTGGTCCACAGGTTTTACCCTTTTACATCGAGACGAATAGGATAATGATGCATCAGCATAGGGAGAACAGTTGATTTCAGCCGTTAACCCATACCGGGTTCAAACCCCATGAACAGCCATCGCTTTTGCGTATTTTTGCAGATTTTCATATTTCAACTAAAAATCGCTTTAAATAGCGAGTATCAGCAGTCATGGCCGCGTTTCTAATCACGTTTTTGATCTATACTGTTGCATGAATTCTAGTAATCGCTTGTACATATTCAAAACCTCTAGATTCAAAGTCCGTGTCTTTTTTCACACAGCCGTTTCGCAGATTTGGAAAGCAGATATGATCAGTATTCCGAATAGACTTAAAGATATACATCTCTTTGCTGAACGCCGGTGCGACTGAACGCTTCCCTTGTCAGTAATTCCTTCTCAGCGGTTCCGATCACCGCTTCCTTCAGAATGAGATAGGATACAGATAAGAGCTGGGACTCATCGAGTAGGACCCAACGTACAAGTAAAATCGCGATCGATCATGGCTTGCGGAAAATATGCCTTGATGGCTTGTAAGAAGAAGTTGGAACGCATCTCGAAGACCGTCAAGGGATTGCCCGAATGACGAAGAGCTTTGAGGCTGGATCCGAATGCAACCCATACTAAGCAATTGATAGCCCAGTTGGAGAACATGCTTCGCAGGAGGAGAGGATCTTTAGAGTACACGTGAGAAGATCTTGCGCAGCCGAGAAAGACGAAGTCCTTAAAAGTGTCGAAGGGACCTTCACTACGAAAATTAACCATTGGCAGCAATGCTAATAAAGACGGCCTGACTTTTTCCGAAAAAGATGAATTTTCCGCAAAGAACTTCTATTCATCAACACCCGTGACGACGCCTGTTGAGCTTACTGAAGAAGTACCACCACGAATTCTACCTGCGAATTGCGCACTCTAATCAGGACTATGAAGATGTCCACGGCTCCAGGACCAGACCACGTCCGTGTCGAACTTTTTTGAGGCGATGAACACCATCTACACAAGATTCTCTCGCACGTAATGTCTTACGATCAAAAAGAAAGGAGTTCGGATACAGTGACCGCCAAAAAGTTGCGGACAAGCCGCCTTCCTTTTTTCATCTCTCATTTTCGGATGGAAAACGAAGATGAAAAAATGACTGGATTGCATATGGTGATAGAGCTCACTAAGAGCTACAACCCACACATTGCGCTTTCTGGAAAACATGTATTATAAAAGTTTTAAAAATCTTTTTCTAAAAAAGTCCGAAAATGGCCGCGTCACAATGTCGCGGACAATAATTCTTCGAACGCGAAAATTTTCTGTTAGGTCTTTTCTTGGAGCAAAAACAGAAGTTATACGGACAGGTAAGCATACTATGTCGTAGAGCTCATCGAGGGCAATAATTGGGTGATGGTTCCTTCCAAAAAACCCAAGCTTGAATTTTGTTTTGCTTTTTATCAAAAAATAATTCTTAATTCCCTTCTTCAAGCCAAATTTCTTAACATGGAGATCTATTCAAGGCATTCCAACAAGGCTGTTCGGATAAAATGGACGCTCTTTGCCATTCTCTATGCATCGGACGTGTATTGGTGAGTTTCTTTGCTAAAAATGGCTCTTGACAGTACGTGCACATGACCCCACCTGCACCTCACCACTGACTTGCACCGTGCAGGCTTGTATCTCAAGTCATTCCACGAGCCTGCAAGTAGGCTTATTCGAAAGAGCGTGACTTTCTGGACACGATGGTATGCAAAAGAGTTAGGTATGAAAAACAGAGATTTGGCGGCTGGGGTGAAAAAGCGCAGCCTTAGAGATGAGTGGAGTGAAGGCTCTTATCAACACCAGAACGTTCCTAGGGCTCCGAAATGGATTTATTACAAGAAAATTGACGGTTTTGAACTTCCAGGATGAAACTGGTGGCGAAAGAAGCTTTGCTCAACTTTAACTGCCACTGAAGCTGCGCTTTGTCACCCCATCCGCCAAATCTCTGCTGTTTTTCATACCCAACTCTTTTGCAAACCATCGTGTCCAGGAAGTCATGCTCTTTCGAATGAGCCTACTTGCTGGCTCGCGGAATGACTGCCGGCTGAGATACAAGCCTGCAAAGCGGTGCAAGTCAGTGGTGAGGTGCAGGTGGGGTCATGTGCACGTACTGTCAAGAGCCATTTTTAGCAAAGAAACTCACCAATACACGTCCGATGCATAGAGAATGGCAAAGAGCGTCCATTTTATCCGAACAGCCTTGTTGGAATGCCTTGAATAGATCTCCATGTGAAGAAATTTGGCTTGAAGAAGGGAATTAAGAATTATTTTTTGATAAAAAGCAAAACAAAATTCAAGCTTGGGTTTTTTGGAAGGAACCATCACCCAATTATTGCCCTCGATGAGCTCTACGACATAGTATGCTTACCTGTCCGTATAACTTCTGTTTTTGCTCCAAGAAAAGACCTAACAGAAAATTTTCGCGTTCGAAGAATTATTGTCCGCGACATTGTGACGCGGCCATTTTCGGACTTTTTTAGAAAAAGAAAACTTTTATAATACATGTTTTCCAGAAAGCGCAATGTGTGGGTTGTAGCTCTTAGTGAGCTCTATCACCATATGCAATCCAGTCGTTTTTTCATCTTCGTTTTCCATCCGAAAATGAGAGATGAAAAAAGGAAGGCGGCTTGTCCGCAACTTTTTGGCGGTCACTGTATATACAGATCTTTCGTTGACGTCAAGATCAGAAAGCAGAAGTAATTTCGATTGGAAGACAAGTACAAGGCAGAATCAAGGTCACGGATAGTCACTGCTCACCTTAATGAACAGTGGAGGGTACATAAGCACAGGGGGTACAAACTACCTCAATGGCCGCTTGTTACAAGGATTGTTCAACAACGATGCAGCTACTTCGTCGCCTGACCTTCCCATTTGGAAATGGGGTCGAAAAGGAAATACTGTTTAGTGCTTACCGCAGCTTTGCAGTGGGTAATAAAACGCTATACGAGTTAAAGAAAGACCCCTCCTTGATCTTCGATTTAAAGACGACATCGCTCTCTTTCTTAGCAGCAAAACAGATACGATGCTGAAGGGGTTGAACGAAGAAGGGAAGAAAATCGGATTGCGAATAAATCAGAAGAAAACTCAATTTATAATGAACGTCTGCGAGGATGCGGTTGGAATTGGAAGGCACCTTTATCATAAATACGTTTTCTTACGTACATCTTGGACATTCGATAGACATGGAGAACGATTTGCGAAGAACTGAACGGAAGAAAAAGAGCAGCTTGGATCGCTTTTTGGAACACATTTGACGGAGCCTGAATCTTCGCGCCTCCGTTATGCAGGTATGACCAAGCCAATATCACAGTGGCGTCGAAAGCTTTACGGCTACTGAAAGAACGGCAACTCCCATTTTGAAGCCAACGTCTCCAGAGGAAATCACCAACAAAATGGGCAGAAGTGTTCGTGGAACGATGAACCAGCTGAAAACCCACTTATAAATTTTGCCCGGGAACTTGCAGACGCAGCTACTGACGACCACCCAAAATATCGTAGATGTTACAAGCGAGAATCAAAGAAGAACCACCGCTACTTTTCTGCTGTGGGCACTACCTGATGACAGATCTTCCAAGTAAGTATTTAAGTAAGTCAGCAATTGTTTGGTACCGCTGAGGCAAAGCTCAATCAAGGATCTTTCTTTGCAATCTATTAAGTATCAAATCGACTGCCGTACAACCCTAAAAAGCCTTTTCATTGCGACTCTAGAAGTTATAAAGAATTTATCATGTTGCGCACAAGCATGAACGCAATTCGATCGCGGTTGTTCCTGTTCGGATTTTCGTTCATGCCACTGCCAAGACTGGTGTAATTCCTATCCTAATTGACACTTAGGTGGACGGTTTCGAATTTGAACTAGATCGGTTCTGCTGCAGTAGAGCGCGGCATGCTTCAAGTGAATCAAAGGATGCCTGGCCTGTAAATTCCCCACTTCAGTAAAATTTCAAAATTCTCACAAGATGTTTATTGGGATGAGGACCAGGGCACGGCACAGGTGGCTTAGCAAGCAAGCTGGATATCGTTTTTGGGGAAAAAGCAAAGGGGATATCGTTATTGCGGAAGAGCATAACGTTGTCTTTCGATCTGCGGCCCTTTGTTTTTTTGCCGGCATGCCGCCAGCAAAAAAACAAAGGGTTTGTTTACAGCGAAGTGAAGGTGAAATGATACCAAAATAGGTGTGTAGATTGGCAATAGGGAGTTAGGACTAAGTATGAAAAATTATGAAAAAATTATGTGAACTAAAGGCGTGCTCAACTTTTTTCGGAGTTAGGTGGCTTTCAAGCCACCTGGATAGCCACCTGAGGTGGCTTAGGAAAGAAAAAGTCATAAATTTTTCCTCCCTCACAAAATTTCTCTACTTTCTTTACATACTTTTCATCTACATCCCAAGCTCTACAAAATGCTTCCTAAACCGCCTCAAACCCCCTTCTCCCCGCTTAGTTATAGCCCCTCGAAAATTTTGAATGGTGGCGGAAAGGCTGCTCTAGGCGCGTATTGCTGCACGATGGATACATCATGCCGTCAATCCGGGAAATATGAATATCATCGCGTGTGTTCGATGATTCTTCTTCGCTTTTTTCCTACTTTGCCTTGTTCCGTTCTATTTCATGTATTTTCTCTTCGAATATCTCGTGGCGGATGTCGTAATTTCATTGAAGTCAAAGGGGACTTCATTTTTTGCAATTTCGGGACGCCACCTCGTGCCGAGCCCTGATCTAGGGTCAAAGGGGACTTCGTAAAAAATCGCAAAAGTCAAGGGGGACTTCGTTTTTGCATTTTCAGCTAGCCACCTCGTGCCGAGCCCTGATGAGGACGACTATAGTGGGGCATGTCGTCATGGACTTGAAACTTTGGCAGTGAGACTCGGCAGAGTTCCAACTTTTCTGTTTGGCTGTGTGCATACATGAGGGAACAGTTTCAGCAGAACGCTCATTTCGAGCGCTGTGCTGGAACTGTTCCCGAATTTTGTGATCAGTATGAACAAAGCCTTTAGTAATTCTTTCGTGGTTGCGTAATTTGATCAAATAGCCACGCTTCTTTATCGGATTTTATACTTTTACTCATACTACTGAGCGCTGCTTCTTTGCAGGTACTACTTGGCAGAAGTGCTTGCAACATCCTCAGTATGGATTCAACTGCTTACGAATAGAAGCGTACGTAGTATTCTGCTGGACCGAAGAGGTCCTCATCCACAATCTTATGGAACAGCCTTAGCCGTAATCTGAGATGGTCCATGTTCAATACTAGTTGCGATAAATATTGTGCCAAGCGAAATCAAGATTTCATTAAAAAAATGAGTAATTTTTGCGCGGGAATTGTTTCTCATTCAAGTGCAGCTGCGATCATATGTCGCTAAAGCTATAAAAGTCATCGTTTCGCTGTGTCAAACATTTTAAATCTTTTTATACTTGATTGAGAAAAGTTCTGTTGCTTCTTCAAATTTTTTGAAAAATTTGTAACTGCCTTCTACGCGAATGTAATTGCTTGCAATAACTTTTACGGAAAAAATCTACTTTCCAAAAGAATTCTTCGCATTTTTTGACAATAAGGGATTTCGGGGATAAGAACTTGAACAGGAGAAGTGCTCTACCTCTCGATACTCTTAAACAAATCATCAAAAACCTGACACGCTGTAGAAAAATCTGGCAACATGCTCTTCACAACTTATGCAAGCTGCTCTTTCTAGTATGCGAAGTTTTTGTTAAACGAGCTTTTTTATCAAAAGTTATGATTCTAGACAAAATTGAGAAAATGCCAGAAATTATTTTGCCGTTTCTACTATTCAAAATTTTATCCCTGAAGTCCCTTGATCGTCAAAGACGTTAATAGAAAGTAGATAATTACGTCTTTTTGGTAACTTGTAAGCAAATGCAACGCATATAAGGAGCAGTAACAAATTTATCGAATTCGAAGCTACAGAACTTTCGGCTCAATTTCGCACATAATTGAATGTCTGTCCGTACGTATTTGAGGAACGGAAAATAACCCTAAGACCCCGGACAGACTTCACGCGATTTGATGGTCGCGACTCAATCGCCGACATTTCCATTCATTTTCATTTCACATTCAAAAATTTCGGGCTGGAAAAGTATCACAACCGAATGCAAGTTGATCGGCATGGAATGATGTTGTAACAGTTGTCTCGTCACGATTCAGTCGCGACGATCAAATCGCGTGAAGTCTGCCCGGGGCCTAACGCGATCCGGGCGAATATACACACACCACTTCAAGACAGATTACATGCCGCAGGCTATTTCCGTTATCGATACTTAATGATTTCATTTGACAGTTGGTGCAGGGCGATACCAGTATGCTAATTGCGGATATGATATTAGTTTTCAATGTATTTTTAAAATAAACTATTAACTTGGTCGATTTTCTCGATTTTTGTGGACTTTAACAGAACTGGGAGTTGGACAGAAAAGGGGGCCGAACATGCTGGTTACGAGAGTCGCAATTTATAGAAATAAAATACTCGTTGTTTTCAGTTATATCCATTTTTGCAATCTTTAACCTAAGGAGCTGGAAGTTGGTAAATAAGGGTAGTGAGCATGCTGATTACGAAAACATAAACAGAGAAATGGAGTATGAAAGTGGGACAGGGAAATTTATATCAGCTTTAGAAATGGCTATCTTCAACATAGTTTATTGAAAGTGACACCGGACAAAGTTTAGTAGGCTAGCTAGTATTTACTATTCGCAAAACTTAAAACGAAATCAATATAAGCCTACTATCTGTGGAAGTAGATGACATTGTTATTCGGCGAATACGGAAGAGATTATTGTATTGTAAAAAACAGAATGAGTACCTAATTTTTCTAGGCAAGTATTAGGTTGTAACCGAATTAATGCAGGTTTTCCAAATTTTGGGTTTGGTATATCTTTTCACAGAAATAGTCAATCCGTTTCCAATAAAAACTGCTGCAATCAGCAAACCTTTGGAAATACGCACTACTATGTCGTTATAGCTTCACTGAGGAAAATTTTATAGCCTAAAGATTGCCAAAATTTCTCTTGAAAAACCTTTGATTTGAGAGGCCATTATTGCTGCACAATTCAGTAGAATGATATAAGTTTCACTCAACATGTAGACAATAGTTGGTTGTGCAGCAGCGTCAAACTTGAAATTTGCGAAAATAATTTTGGCTAGAAAATATCGCAAAAAATTTGTGATCACTCAATTTTATCAATTGCTCTAAAAAGGCGAAAAAGTCCTTTTTTGCTATATTTTAAATTTTCTCGCCGTCAAAAAGAATAACAACTTCCGTTTTTTTGCCATCAAATGCACTGTGCCTATTCTTTGTGCTCACGACGAAAGCTCTGCATTTGCTGCGCACTTAGGATTTTTATACGCCGCAAAATGATAGCAGCTTTTGTTTGGGTTTAAAATGAGATTTCTCATTCTGGAAACTTTCAAAAAATCTGTTTTAATCTGCATTTTGTAGCAAGGGTCACATGCAAACAATAGGTCAGTTTGCGAAAAATTCCGATTTTTCGCGGTGAATTTAGAGCAGAAAGTTTGAAAATAAAATAATTCAGAGTTTAGCCTAATGAATTTGAGGGCGCGTAATTTCGGGATGAATCCACTATCTCGAAACGGAACTTGCTTACGAAACTAGAAGAAGAGTGCTTTCAGATGATACGCACAGTTTTTTAATACAGGGGAATTTTGTTTTGAATCAAACATTGAAATAGAGGTGCGAAAAACCTGCATTAATTCTGTTACAACCTAATACTTCCATAGGCCTCGGACAGAGTTCACGCGATTTCATCGCCTCGATTCTTCCAACAGAACAATCAGTTATGAGTCTATGGCAATGCCAAGCCATTTCGGTTGTGATAGTTATCTAACACGACCACTCGTGACTAACTATCGCAACCGAAATTTAAGATGATCTCAATGCAATAGGTTAGTAGCTGTTCGTCTTTTTGGGAGAAACGCGGCGTTAAAATCGCGTTAACTCTGCCCGAGGCCTTAGGTGTGTTACTGATTAATCACATTATTTTGCGATACTTCTTTCGCGAAGTGTGATGTTTATTTTTTCTTTCCCAGTTGCATATGTTGGAGCATTTGACATTTACGACACCACTTTCCGGTGTAGGCACCTCATAAATTTGCTTGAAAATGGGAATGTGATTTTGTACACTTGTTACTACGATTGTTGTGTTTTGTTGGTAAACATTCGTATATCTTATTATGCGACTGCCACGCACGTCTGCTGAGAATACTTTAATTGCTCTATTCTTTGCTTTCGTAGCTGTTGTGGTGAAGTAGATGTACTATGAAGGAAACTCCTCGTTACCTGTTACCTAGAGTATATACCGGGTATTGGCATTAAAAAATAGTTGTCATGCTTAGTCGACAAAAGGAAATACTGAGATTTTCCTATACATTTCCAGCTAGCTTTTATAGAAGGCCTTTTGCAGATGTTCAGTACACATCAATCAAATTCAAGAAATCTTTTCACTGATCAACATCGACTCGTATTTTTTAGCGCGCCGTTCATTTTTTCAGTAGATTATCGTATTGTCAATCATATACACTTTGAGTTCTCCCAAAAAAGTAATTTCTGTCTGTGTAATCATTTTGACTTACAACCCCAAAAATTCCCAAAATTCATTAGTCTTCAATGCCTGGAATTTTTTTAATTCGTGTTTAAATTCTAAACAGCTTGTGCGCATCTGTAGCACATATTGCGCTCTACATATAATTAAAGTTTGATTGCGTAAAATCCAAAGAGAGTGAAGTTATGAAAAAATTTGCAAAACTTATTTTTCAAACTAATATCAGGTCATTTCAAAAGTTCGTTCGCCAGTTTTACAAAATGTCATAGCTTCCTTCCTTCTTGGTGAAATTTCTCGTTTCAATTTTTATTTGAAAGAGGAATCCTTTCTCTTTACAATAGTGTCTTTGCCATGAAATGGCGTGAGAAAGTTTGAGAGTTAGGCAATTGAATAAATTTACTCAAGTTTGGCACTTTTTAAGCTAAATCACGAAAAATTCCGAAAGTGTTATTATTTGATAGAGAAAATTATGCGTTTTACTATAGTGCCTTTTCCACGAATTAAAACGAAAAATATCGAAATTTACAAGCAAATAAAGGGAGTTACTTTAGTTTTGCAATTTTTGAGCATGCCCAAAAAAGCCCAAAAACGTCAAAAAAGCCGGGAAAGCCAAGAACAGGGGTTTTGTGACCTTTTGTTTCTAGCTAAGGGATTGTTGTGCTAAGGGAGAGCAATTTTGATTTCCATGGAAACGTATAGCAAATTCCCAAAAATTCATTACTGTTCATAAGAACAGTCGTTTCGTTCAACAAGGAGTTTGCCTAGCTAGAAAGACGAGAACATAAAACATATGTTTGGTTTGTTTCGGTATTTTTTGCTACGTTTCAAGATTTTTGATGAGCTTTTTTGAAATTACCAAAATTTGAGTGGTCTTCTTTTTGCATTTTTAACTCTGCGACTTGTGCTTGGTAGAGCGAACTTGAGTCACGGTTAGAAACTACGTGATCTCTTTATTCTAGAAAAAATTATCCCAGGCGCGATTTTTTAGAGAACAATGCGAACGAACTTTGAAATGACCTAAAATATCTGGATCATGCACAAACATAATACCGTGGAATTCCGCACTTAAAATATCTCTCGGGTTCATATTCGGCTCAGTAAGAAAGAAATAAAATGTAAGGGCATATGGAATCTGACGCCCTCACAAAGTCGAACGAGTCGCTGTGCGCAAGGCTGCTAGTGACAACCGTCAATGAATAAGGAGTCAGAATCTCAAAATTCGTCAAGCTCTCCATATATCAAGGCTCTTTGGCCTGCCAAACACGAATGTCATATTCAATTGTTGAATCAATGCCTCTTTCCTTACTTGGGGACGAGTGGCTTAGTGGTATGAGGCGCCGCTATGACCAAATCGAACACAGGTTCGATCCCCGCTCCTGGGTCAAAAAAGCCCTTTACTCTCCGGTCACGGTAAATTGGTAATAGAGTAATTTGGGAAGATAAAAGCACTGACTTGGTAACCAGCTGGCCCCCGCAAGTCGCTGTAATAGGCCCGCACGCATACAATTGCCTCTTCGACTATGAAGTAGTGTGCGTTCGGTGCATGCCCGCAGAGGGCATTGAAGACGCCGAATGGCTGAATCCTTTATCTTTTTATTCTTTCCTTGTTTATGTGGAACCCTATAACGTAAACCTACAACCTCACAAAAAAGCTTTCATC